GCCATCTTTGCCGAGCTTATCTCAAAAAAAGCTGGTGTGATAGTTCTCTTCATTATTACCATCCCCCAAGCCAATTAATTTCCCTTTATATCTTTGAAAACTACAGATCTTTATTCTTTTCTCTGCAGCTTACCCGTGAATTTGGTTCTAAGTGAGAAGATTTTTTACCCAATCCAATGTTGGCTATTTGGGGATCATTCCCAAAAAATTGTTTGCCCACGAACATGAATACCATTTTGCTTCTGCCAAATTTTTAGCATTAGCATACTGATCTGCATCAATTTTTTCTTTGGACCTTGTACATTTTCTGTACTTGTACCATTTCATTCGTTGGCGAATGTGTATATGGAATCTTGAAGCAAACCGAAATTTTTGAATAAATTTTTGTTAGTTTGATGACATTTGTTTCATGGCACATGCCAAATGGGAAGCTTGGCCTGGTTTGTTTAATTGATTACTATTTGACCTTCATGGTTTTGTTGGGCGTGTGATAATTTGGAACGTTACCTTTTTTCTTCTCACATTTGAATTCAGAATTAGATATGTTGAATTTCTTAAAGAAATTTCACTACTAAAAATCACTTTATCCTCCAGAAAATAACTCTTTAGCTTTGAGTGATTTGAAGTGTATTTTTTTTTTGTTTTTAAAATATAATTTTTCTTGGTTATTTGGCCTGCAATATTGAAAATTAATAAAGAGTATGAAATTTTAATTTGTAAAACTAAATTTTGATATTAAATTTATAAAAAATAAAATTCATATTTTCAATAAATTAACAGTTTAAAATATAAAAAAAAAACATAAAAATAATTAAATTATTTCCTTTTTTTTTGAGAATGAATTATTTTCCTTTTAGTAATTGTAAGTATCATTTTTTTTTTTTAATTTACCTTCCGTGTCATGCTTTGATTCTTTGGTTGGGATCCTCCATTGCTCATTTGTAAAAGGTTCTGTTGTAATGAGACGCTGGTAATTTCCCAAATTTTTTCCAAATCTTTTTATTTCGCCTCTACATAAGCAAGGAAACCAAATTATCAAATATAAATATTTGATCAAAAATTAAAAATAAATAAAGCAAAATTCAGGGAGGTTTTAGTAAGATTTATCATTATATTATCCGGTCCTTTAATTACCTTAAACAGGAATATCAGCAGGAACCTGATGAAAAGTTTTGGCCAACTTTACCACCTTTTAAGAAAGACCAGCATCCATCCATGTGTAACTCTCCACCAGAATTAGCTCCACTGCTCTTCTAACAACACCACTTACATTCTCACTTTCCATTTCTTGACTTTGAACCCGCTGAGTTATCACATATCAATCAAGATTTACTTAAACCTTTCCATTATTACATCAATCAAGATTTACTTAAACCTTTCCATATAAAACTATTATTCAATCAGAAAAAATTAGCCAGCAATATTTTTTACAGAAGAGGAAAATGATTGTTAAGGCTTGATTTAATTAATACTGAATAGGAACTTACCAGAGAAACTGTAGATTTTTCCTTCCTCAAATTGAACTTTCTGTGAGAAACTGTCTAGTGAATGTGTTCTGGTATGTGCAATAATGTATCTGTTTCCATCCTCAGAAACTCCTCCTTTAATTGCTCCTTTACCAAACACACTCCAACCCTCTATGCCATTAGTAAATTCTGGATTTGCTATTATCCCTCCTCCGTATTGAGCTCTTTGTGGCTCTTTCAGGCACTGCTCAAATAAATTTCATTTCCTTATATAAATTGCCATCACGTAAATAAGCAAGTGGTAAAAATCTTTGTCTGTCTGGTGAGACAGATATTTCTGATATTACCAAAAAAAAAAAAAAAAAAAAAAACTGAAAGAAAAATATTTTCTTTAGCCTCAGTTGTTGCATAAATAGGTGTAGGATAAAGCTTCTTTGAATCCCATGCCCGATAAAGCTTGAATCCCATGCCCTGAAGATAGAAAAAGGCATAAGAGGACTAATACATAAGCTTCTGGTGATGTCCCCATTTCCTGAAATAACGTTACAGTTAAAAAGATTATATTCATTAAACAAGAGTAAAATATATAGATAAGCAATTAATATGGTGCTTGAGTTTCTTCTGAGGAGAAGGAATGAAATATTAAAGGCCTTCTTTCGGTTTCGAATCATATAGAAGAAATGAAATACAACTCCAAATCATATACATAGGCTTTAGGAATGGAAGGCTTTAGGAATGGATTTGGGGATAAAATATAATTTCAATTCATACAAATTTGTTATTTTTCTTCCAGTGGAACACATGAAGGTTTTGATAAAATCAAAACAAAGAATACAATGAACGAACATAAAAAGGGCAAACCTTAGTCCCAAATTAGTTCGGATGGATTGTGTGAATTCTTTTGTTTCTAATATCTGCTCTGATCAAATTAATATCAAAGCAAAGCAAAATGGCTGTGCGAAATAGATAGATAGTGTATCCTATCTCTTCTTATCTATGCATTCTCTAGACGTGAAATTTACTTGGAGTTATTTATAGGAGTCTTCGGAACTCAAATTCCAAAATTGAATTAAAATTTATTTGATTCGTTAATTTTATAACATAAACTATTATCAATATTTGGAAATAACTATCCTTATGTTATTGATATCACAGGTCTTTGTCAATGTCTAAATACTTCAGGTCAATTTTGCTGAAATCATATATTTTGAAACGCTTAGCGATCTCCTGCTGCTAGTCCTTGAAAGCCCAGTTCGGTTGAAAGCAGAATCTCATATTTTCTAAACCAAATGTTGCTTTCACTCTGAATATCACTCCTTCTGGTATTTTTTTCTTGGATTTTGTCGTCTCGAAAACTTTGACCAGTGACTTTTGGTATTGTTTCTTGGATTTTGTTGTCTCGGAAACTTTGACCAGTGACTTTTGGTATTGTTTCTTGGATTTTTTCATGATTTGAGTGACTTTTGGTATTGTTTCTTGGATTTTTTCATGATTTGGTGAATGCAATTCTGCTTTGCTGCAACTTCTTTTCAGCGTTACAACAGGAACTTCTACTGGCAAAGAAAATGCAGTGTAAAAGCCATAAGTGGTGGTGGAAGTAAGTGACAATGATTTTCGCACTAAATCGCAACAAGTAATATAGAATGAGTAGGACATTGTTCCCACGAGAATTGTTTACCAAGTACCAAATGTTAACCTACTATTATTTAAAGAACGATTTAGGGAAATTAATTTTAGAAACTAAATTTAACAAATAAAGATAATAAAAAGAAATCAAGCAAACAATTTTTGATTAAAAGAAATCAAGGATTAAAGACTACTAGGAATTTTAACTTCATTTAATTCTATCAAATTTATTTTACAAATTTATTTTATTAGTTTCGTTAAACAATTTTTTTAACTTGCTTCAAGTTAGTGAGAAACAATCCTAAAATCACTAACAAGCTCTCCCGATTGTATTTGTTAGCTTTTTTTTAACGACTCCAATTACCGCCGGATCTCAATAGTGCAGATCACATGAAATCAAAATGATTGCCCCGTTTTATGGTTTGTTTATTGCTTCATAACCTAAATAGTTTTTAACTTATGGGAAAACCCCCATGGATGTGAAACCACCCCATGAGTGAACCATATAGCTGTCCACATCAAGTTTATTCTCATTTGTAATTTATTACCTTTTCTCATGATTCAAAAACCCTTCTTCCCGATTGTGATTAATGATAATTAAATTTAATCCAGGAGAGAAAAACTATGCTTTTTCATATCAAAAACCCTTCTCCCGATTGTGATTAATGAAATAAATTAATCCAGGAGAGAAACTCTGCCTGGAAGCATTAAGCTATATAGTAAATTATACTTTGAATAAAGAAAAATAAATCTAATATTATAAATTAGAAAAGAAATTAAGCTACTTCAAATCCCCAATGTGAAAGTTTAGTTCGACATAGTAATTAAATAAAACTCAATTAAACTTGATAATAATTTCATAATCAATGTGAATAATGAAAAGCAAAAACAAGATTAAGAGTTTAGAGATAAAAATTAGTCAAATAACGTGGACGGCTTTCTTGAATCTTGACACAATGCTTAATCACTTAAAGTCTTAAAGGGAGAAAAATAATAGAACAAAAGATTATAGAACCAGAGATGCCTCTTACATTGAATTGGTTCTCTCTTTATATAGACTTCCTGGGAGAAAATCTTAGTTCGTTTAGGAAATAGAATCTTCATTAAGTAAGAAACCTTTTGGAAATAGGAAATTAGAATTTCTTCTCAATTAGGACTCCCTTATATGCCTAAATAGGATTAGAAGTTGATCTCCACATCAGAAAATCACCTTATGTGGGCCTGTGTAGGTAGTAGGGATTGGCTGGCATTCGCAACCCAAAATAAAACTTCATTCGCAACACGGGCGTGCTGTGTGGCACGGTTAGGGCGTGCCGGAGCCTGAATTCTAGAGATGGTTCAGCATGAGCCGTGCTCAGGGGCTCGTCTCGAGAAGAATCTGTGAGACGGGTGTGCCACGTAGCACAGCTAGGGAGTGCTAGGCTCTGAGTCTTCATGATGGAATGCAGCATGGACCGTGCTCAGGTAAGCACGCCTTTGGATAAATGTCTTCTTGCGGCACGGGAGTGCCATCTAGCACGGCTAGGGCATGCTAGACTCTGAGCCTCCATACTGATTTTCCTTGATTCCAGCACGGGAGTGCTGAATTGCACAGCTTAGGCGTGCTAGAGCCTGAGTGTTCTGCTTTAATTTGCTCTTTTTTTGCGCCAAAATCCTACAAATTTCCTTAAGATCAAGCAAATTATGTTTCAAGGAAGTTTTGATGAAAAATATAAATAAAACTTAATAAAAAGCTAACTAAAGTAATAAAAACCATTAAAGATCCTAATAGAAATTATATTTAAAATACTATAAAAATAACACTGCTGCTTTGCTTTAGTGGAACAGCAAATGCCTGAACCAGAATTTTGACTGCCTGAAGAGCACTGAGAATTTGGATCAGCAACTTTGAGGCTGAGTAGGCCACTGTCAGGTTGTGAGTGATGGAAAATGATCATTTCCTTGTGAGTTCAATTCAAGAAAGGTATTATTGAAGGAATCAATCCATATTAGACCCTCTGCGCCGCGGATAGAGTTGACCACTAGTTGAAGTAAATGATCATTTCCTTGTGAGTTCAATTCAAGAAAGGTATTATTGAAGGAATCAATCCATATTAGACCCTCTGCGCCGCGGATAGAGTTGACCACTAGTTGAAGTTTCTTCAAAGAGTGATTAACTTTCTTGATTTTTCAAGAAGGCCAACGATTGATTCCATGTTGCCTGCATATCCTTTTCAGTGTAGTGGGGCAAACTGCAATTGATAAAAATAATAAAAAAAAGAAGTTAGATTAGTTGAGTGCTTATTTTTCAATGAGGCTCAAAGTAGTTTTTGCATTTTTTTACCTCCACTGCTCTTAGCAGCATCTTTAAGGCTCCCAGCGAAATATTGTCGAAGAATTTGCAAGCCGATTGTCTTTTCTGCCTTAGTCTGTCTATTTTCACCTGCTCTTAAGTTTTTGCTCAATGAGAAATCTATACCAACAGAAGAATTTTCTTTACGCTCATCAACAACACCAAATTTAAGTGCAGAACTTTCTTGAAGTTGTTCAAACTCCGAAAATGCTGATTCATTATTATCCCAATGACTTATAATCTTGAACTCTTCTTCAGGCTCTTCTTTCAGACATTCCCATGAAACAAAAGCAAAATTTTCCTTTTCTTTGTCCATAATAACATGGAAATTCCTGCAACACTGTTGTATCACAATAGGCAAGAAATCCCACATATGCTTTTGCTCTTCAATATCTTGGCAATCTCTTGGCAAGAATAGCTCTAAGACAAATTCAATCGAACCGGTGTATATGTTTGCAAGAGGAATTGCCAAAGCTGCACGCAAATTATCCATCGTGGCATGGTGAGAGAGAGGATAACTTGTTTTGCTAAAGGAGGTTACATCAGTAGCAAACAATTGCTTGTTTCTTGGGAACGCTTTCCTTACGATCCCTTGATCAAGAAATAAGTATTGCGTGGAGCATGCTTTATAGAATCCGAAAAGATCACTATCAGCCATGTAGCAAACAGAATCGACAGTTGATATATAATAATCATACTTCCCTGAAACCTGCTCGCATTCATTTTTGCCTCGGCGGTTACATAATGCCCATGTCAAAGCTAAAGGCAAATTATTAGTCTCACAGACAGATTTTAAAATCTTTAATATTTCTGTAATTGCAATTTGGTAGAATTCATTGCAAGTCTGTTGAAAATAAAGCATATTTATTAATGCTGTTATATCATTAGCAAAACCATAAATTTCAATTAATTTTATAATGTCAAATTACCTTTATACAAAAAGGAAAGAAATCTTGCGAACTCTTTAGATCGACAGCCTGCAAAATAACAAGTATCATTTTGTCAGCCCATATATATTTATATATACATAAAAGAAAAGAAACATTAATGCTGTCATCACTCATTACGGCCCGAAAACCCCATCAATCTCTAATTAATCTCCCTATAATCCGTCAAATCCACCTTTATACAAACAAGGAAAGAATCCTTGCGAACTCTCTCCTAGCATGCGACACCAGCCTGCACAAACCACATAAACCAATTCATTATTTCGTCAGCCCCCCTATACTACCTTCTATACCCCTATACCATAAAAGAAATAAGAACACACGGAAAGGGGAAACACAAAAACAAGAAAAACAGACCCTCAAGCAGCCTTTTACAGACACAATTCTCATACGCTCTACCCTACAATGATTACAAATTGCGACATCTTCGACGTTGTTCGTATTACAATCCTCCTCCCACCACACAGCCAAGGCAAGTTCCACTTCCCTTGTCTCGACAAACCGGCCCACTAGTTCTAAATGATAATTGATCTTCTGAGTTGTCGTTACAATCTCAACAACAGCCAAGCAAGTTCCACTTTCTTGTTCGAAAACCGGCAATGCAAGACACCCACTAATATTATACAACTGAGCACAATATTTTCGCGGACATTCATCATTCCTGAAGAATCTAACATCAGGAGTCCATTCAGGAAACTTTTCCAGGAAACTCGTCCAGGCAACCCAGCTGACTCTTTTGAGTCCTCAGCTGTGAGATGAAATGCTTTCGAAATATTTCTGTAACTTTCCAAACTCCAGCAACTCGGATTAAGAGAATAAGGCAGGTCAGTAGCAGTAAGCACATTTTGACCTGCTATTTTTGTAGGCACCCATATTTGAATAAGCACATCTCTATGTTCCACATATTCTTTCAAGTAGTCAATAGCTAACGTTAATCTATCTTTGACAGAACAATATGGTTCTATCAAAAATTTTCTTGTGCGGGATTCTTCACCTTGAGATTGTACTAAACATGTGTCAGTCTCAACAACACATTTCCCAATTCCAGAATAAACTGGAGTTGGGTTGTCAAACAGGTTTTCCATTTCTTTTCGAGAAAACTGATGATATGAGTCCAAATATTGAACGCTAAGGTTTTTCCATTCCTTAATCGTTAGAAAACATGATGAATATGAGTCCAAATATTGAACGCTAGAAATGAAGGGAGCTGACTCCCCCAAGACCTTGATGATATGAGTCCAAATATTGAACGCTAGAAATGAAGGGAGCTGACTCCAAGAAATTGACCTTATCAGTGGTCCGCAGCCAAGATCCATGAGCAAAAGGTTTATCTATAAAATCCAAATCCACAGAAGTGCTCGAGAATGTAGAATTAATTAGTGCAGAAGCACCCCTATCCATTCAACCTGTCAAGTCCAAATTGAAAAGATTGTCATGAACCAGAAGACCTTCGAACAGTGAAGTTGAAAAACAAAAAGAGGAACTTCCAGGAAGAATTGGTATTGCTGATATCGAAGGATCCCAAATGCTCAAGTTGCTGAAATATCGTCAATTAAAATTTGTCTTGAGAAACTGCAATCACAAATTCATTTCAGAGGCAGAAACCTGCCACATTATATATAATCATAATAAACCAACACACAAACATATAGTACACAAACAAATTTTCATAAGAATAATAAAGCATATATATTTTTTTATTGCCTTGAATTAATCCAATATATCTCTAACAAGCTCTGGATAAATTTGGAACGAAAGAGAGGACACAAATAATAAAGCATATATATTTTTTTATTGCCTTGAATTAATCCAATATATCTCTAACAAGCTCTGGATAAATTTGGAACGAAAGAGAGGACACATTTCCATGTCTTTACCGCAATTGGGTTCTTTTTGTTTCTTTATTTTTGGGCTCTGGTAACATTTTTTTTTAAATCAATTTGCAATTTTGCCCTGAATTTCTGGTAGAGATTGAAGTTAAAAATGAAACAAAGCTGGATACTGTTGATTTTTCAAAAAATTTTATTTTGAGTTTGAACTCAATCTAGACAATACTAGTGAGCTCCCATTGGGATCGCACTCCTAAACTCATGATTACTAAAACATCTTAAGACTACTAAAAAAGTTTTTTTGATCTAAAGTGATTCTCATAAATTACAAATGGTTCTCGTCTGGTGTAGAAATAAGTTGAGTTTCGAATATTAATTTGAATTATCTGTACCGAAATCCATTTAAAATTTGTTCATGATTTGGTTTGATTCAATATAAAAAATTTAATCAAACCAAACTAATAATGATGATCTATAAAATTTTAAACCTGAACCAAACCATAAAGAGTACTCAAATCGAATCGAATTGTACTCGCAGATATAATTTGGATTATTTTATATGAATTTAATTTAGTTCGTGCTGTTTGTAAAGTATTCAGCTATTCATTTTTACAAAAAGAAAATAACAAAAAATTGCTCCGTTAATAATCTTTTATGAATAAGAAAACACTTATTCATATATTAATATGTGCTAAATATACACAAACTTTTAAGTGAGGATTAAATTTTTTGAATAAAGTGAGAAATTAATTAAGTTATTCAACGTGAACATAACTTACCAAAAAGCAAAAAGTTAAATGAAAAAAAAAATTACTTTTAAACTATAAAATGAACAAACGTTTCAACTTTTTATATTTTCTAAATCAAATCAAACTATTAATTTTTAAATTCGTTTAAACAATTTATAATGTTGATGAACACTTCTTAACTCATCCATAATTAATCTATTTAAATTACTCATTTCACTAATCAAACTAAATTAAAAACCGACAGATTACTTATTCAATAACGAATCTAAATCCATTTAATCTAAATAAAATTAACAAAAATCTTTAAAAAAACTAAAAATAAATTTCAACAAGAAAAAAGAGAAAATATTGGCTGAGTTTTCAAAAAAAAAAAAAAAAAAAAAAAAAAAAAAAAAAAAAAAAAAAAAAAAAAAAAATATACTTATAATGTATCAAAACGATAAATGCAACTAAATTAAAAAACCGACAAGCATTACTTTATTCATAACGAATCTAAATCCATTTAATCTATAAAATTAACAAAAAATCTTTAAAAAAAACTAAAAAATAATTATTTTCACAAGAAAAAAAGAGAAAAATATTGGCTGAGTTTTTCAAAAAAAAAAAAAAAAAAAAAAAAAAAAAAACAAAAAAAAAAAAAAAAAAAAAAAAAAAAAAAAAAAAAAAAAAAAAAAAAGAGAAACCGAACGGGTTAGAAAATTCGAGTTGAATTTTATTTTTAAAACCTGTCCATCTTTAAATGACTTGCCCTATTTGAATTGGATTGGGATGGATAACGGACGGAGCAGGCGTAATTGCATGCCATCCTTAGAGCAACTCTAATGTGACTGGTTTGTGGCTTATATGATATCTTAAACAGAAGACGTTAACAGTGATATGACTATAAGTCTATTTGTGAAAATTGTATTTGAAAAGAGACTTTCTAATGTATCCCGATCAGAATAGGATTTTACGATGATGTATATTATTTTTTTTTTAAAATTATATCTAATTAAAATAAAAGAAAATAAGTTGAGCTTTAGAAGTTTAGCGTGAGAGAAGATGGTGAAAAAGAAAATAAAATTATTAGTAAAAAAAAGAATTAAATAGCTGAGTCACTAACAAAAAGAATTAAATAGCTGAGTCACACTGTTTATCATAGCTGGTCACTAACAAAAAGAATTAACTAGCTGAGTCCCACACTGTCTAACAGACCTTCTGAAAGTAGAGACTATGAAAAAACCTGGTTCAATAACAGTGTATTAGATATATTTTTTTTTTATTTTATTTTTATTTAACACGTCCATTTAATTTAAGATTGAATAAACCAGTAGACAATAGGAAAGATACTCTCGTATATTGTTCTGATTTGACCAATCAGATATAGATACTCAATCCACAATACCACACAATCCCGTTGGATCATGACGTTAGATTATCATCTAAACTGATAAACTAAACTGTTGGAAATTTAAGATTCAGTAGAAAACACAAATTCCAAAGTGTAAGAAACTTAATAAATAACCTGGTTATGGTAGAAATGTTTTCTGAAACGATTAAAATTGCTAACTAAAAAGAGGATGACAAATCAAACAAATACAAGTACATAGGACCAAGGGAAATAACAAGATATTACAAATAAGAATAAGATAAACATATAATGCATACAAAAAAAAGCCTGAGAAAATAGAAAAAAGCGATTTCAAATAAGAAATTTTACAAACACAAATAAAAAAAACAGAACACTGATTTAATGAAGATCGAAATTAATAAGGGACTAGTGAGAGATAGAAAAAATCCTACACATTAACTCAATGGCAATATAAATATATAGACAGGAATTTTGAAGCAAGCTTGAAGAGAATACAACTGAAACAAATCAAAGATGAATTATTAAAGGTAGAAAGAAATGAATACGAAGTCGGCAGCACGAGAATCAATCATATCTCTTGCTGCGATTATCAAAAATCGTAATACCCTATACTTGTTTATGTCTTTAATGTCTGCTGTACCAATGAGATATTTAAGAATCTATTGGACTAAATAACTAAGCTATGGGTTTAAGCTAAGCAAATACTAACGGGCCTGTGATGTATTTTATTGGGCCATATGGTAGTTGTGATATTTAATATAGGACAGAACTGTATACTGAAAATATTCTCCTAATACCCCCTCCTCAAGCTGGTGTAGTGGGGAGAGTCAACCAAATCCCAGCTTGGGAGAAGAAAAATGACTGAAATATGGGTTTTGTGGATAGGGGCCTTAGTCGAACACATCTGCCTAAGCTGCCAAGGTTGACAAGGTAAGGTAACTGACCGTGTTAGACTAACTGAAGCCTAAGTACCGAAGCTGGGATTATCGATCACTATTGTACAATCAATGTCCTATGTCGTTTGGTCCGTCACATATCGACAAACGGGTCGCTTTTTGCAGCTATGTGAATTGCGGCTTTGTTTGTCTACAAAATTCGCAAGTGGGTATTAATACACTGGTTTTGGGATGGGTAAATGTGGAATCTAGAGAGAAGGGAATGCAGCCATTTTGATTTCACAAACTGTTTTGTAGCCATTGGACCTATACTCCCCGGTTCTGCAGAGGACCTGCTTACCAGTGTCTCTGTAATTTCTTTGATTTCCACTAGAAATCAACCTGAAAAAGACAGTGCCTAGGTAAAATATCAGGTATCCTGTGGTAGACTTTTCTAGTATCAGCACATGATGCCCCAGTCTGCATAAGAAAAAGCTCTTTAGCTTCATGTCTTCTGTGATGGAAAGGATAGGCCTCTATAACTGTGCCTGTCAATATACTTGACCCAAGTTAAATTGCAAATCAGCCCTTAGGTGTTGTTTGATCAGGTGATTGGCAATGAACTGACTTTAGGCAATGTGGACGAGCAAAGCTAATGTCAGGTCTTGTAAAGTGGACAAATACAAAGAAGTACCTGCCAACAAGTTCTTACTGAAAACATAATACAGGGATTTTGGAAGACTGGTAGTATAACCCCATAGTCTGACACACTGAGATATCAAAGTCCATCGCAATAAAAAGGAGAATATAAGAAGATTGCGTATTTTGGCATTCTGCAATCCCAAGATGCTTTGATGATATTTATATATGATGAACTTGTGTTGAGTGAGAAGAATCCCTTCAGTTGATCTGGCAATTTCAATACCAAGAAAATATTTTGCATATCCCAGGTCTTTTATAGTGAATTTGTGATGCAGATAGTCTTTGAGGTCTTGAATGAGCTCCTCGGATGGTCCTGTTATAATGCAATCATCAACATAAACCAAAATAGCAAGAAAGGAATCGCCTTTGCCTTTTGTGAACAGGCAGTTGTCAAACATGGACTGTTGAAAACCTTTAGAAATTAAGCTTGCAGAAAGTTCCTTGTTCCACTGTCTCCCTGCTTGCTTTAATCCATAGAGAGATCGCTGCAATTTACATACTTGGCCTGTGTGAGCTTTGTCATAACCTGGTGGGACTTGCATGTATATAGTTTCATCAATGGACCCATGCAAGTAGGCATTGTTGATGTCTAGTTGATGAACAGACCAAGCTTTAGCTGCTGCCACAGTTAAGAACACTCTTACAGGCCATTGTTATAGATGTCTAGTTGATGAAAAACAGACCAAGCTTTAGCTGCGACCACAAAAATCAGAAAAGTTAAGAACACTCGATGTACACAGTTACATTAGACCTGTTGCCAGCAGGAGGAGAAGGTCTTAGGTTGTAAATCTAAACCCAGTGCAACCTGCTGTTACCTTTGCCACAAGTCTGGCCTTTGTAAAATCTATCAAATGGCTTGCCATCTTGGTATTATAACTTTGATCCTGTAATATCCATCTTACATCCCAAAAGGTTTGAACATAAGGGAGGTAAAAAATCAGTTAGTATCACTGTATTGTAATTTTCAGAGGCAAGTTTAACTCTATAATAGCATGGCAGATCTCACCCAATTATTTTAATACATGTTTATTAGCTTCGATTAATAATTGCTAGGATTCCTTGACTTTAGACACATGTGGCAAACAAAGGTTTGTGTGAGGGTGTGAAAAATGAAATAGAAGGGTGTGAAATGAATAGAAGCTGGTGTTTGAGTGGATGAGATGTGAGAAACCACAAAGTCTTGTAACCAGGTTGGTGTATGTTTGGTTCTTATGCTTCTTCTTAAAACAGGAGCCTGTATTGGATCTTCTGATAAAGATTCAGGAATGGTTGGTTGGGTAGTAGCTGGTTCAGTAGAACTGGGCTGTGATGTGCTTTGTGGAGACAAATTTGATGTTCTATTATCTATGTGGAGACAAATTTGATGTTCTATTATCTAAAGATGAGGGAGTTGTATTATTTTCTGTGATTGGAGGGGAGGGTTGTATTGGTAAAGTATTTCTGGGTGAATCTTGCTGAAAAACATCAAATGTGGTTGTGGGAAATGAAATTGGGGATAGATATGTATCATGAATGCAAGCTGGTAGTGTAAAATTGGTTATGGTTTCGGGTGTTTTGTGGTGAAAAGGGAAAGTGGTTTCAATAAAGATTACATCTCTTGAATGGAATACAGTTTTGGTACTGAGATTGTACAACCTATACCCTTTATGCTGTTGAGAATAACCAAGGAACACACAAGGGTGGGCTCGAGGCTCAAACTTCAGTTTGTGTGGCAGTGTATTAGTTGAGTAACATAAACATCCAATGACTCTGAAGTGGGAATATTCTGGAGGTTTATTATATAATCTGAAGGAATTCTATTTGATATGTAGGTTGCAGATAACAAGGTTTCAAGGAATTCTATTTGATAATGTAGGGTTTTTTGACAGATAACAAGGTTTCATAACCAGAACTTGGGTTGCAATTTGGCTTGGTGGGAATATAGCTCTAGCAATATTTATTAAGGTTCTAATGTTTCCTTTCCACTACTCCATTTCTGCTAGAGGAGTAATGCTACACAAGTTCTTTTGATAATTAATGCCTTTTTACAAGAAAATTTTTTGACATTCAGAATTTATAATTCTAAACGCCATTATCAGATCTGAAGATCTTGATATTATTGGTTGAATTGTGTAAGAATATAACTGGTAAAAAAGATTTCCAAAGGCAGATGGCACCCTTGAATTCTTGGTTGTTAACATGTTAAGTCCACAGTAATCTGCTGTAATCATCCACTAAAGTCACATCATACACTGCATTTGTAAAAGGAGATTTTTGGAACACATGTATGGTCCCATAAATCCATATGAACAATCTCAAAAGGTTTTAAAGGGTAGAAATTTGACTAGTGAAAAAAAGGTAATCTGGTTTGTTTAAGCAAAAATAGGACAAACAGGTACATGACATATCCAAAAAATCAACAATCAGTCGATGTTACATCAATTTACATGTTTTCAATCCTCTATTAGAGATATGACCTAATCTAGCATGCCACACATTGCCAGATTGTTTATTATGACTATTACATTGAGCTTACCACTTGGTTTCCACTTATTGGTGAAGTCTTTTGTCATGTAGTATAGATCTTCATATACTTTTCCCACTGCCAGTAATTCCTCAGTCTGTAAATCCTGGAATAAGCAGTATTCAGGAAATGAGTGTACAGACAAATGACATGTTTTGGTGAGTAAGTTTACTGAAATAAGGTTGCAGCTGAAGGAAGGCACATACAACACATTGTGTAGAGTAATTCTATTATTCAATTTAATATTTCCAATGTTTTAATATTTCCAATGTGAGTAACCTGTCTGGTAGAATTGTCAGGTAATCTAATGGTTTTGGGAGGGTTCAATTTTTGTACAAGGTCAAAGAATGATAGATTAGCAGTGATATGGTCTGTTGCACCTGAGTCTATTATCCAGTTACTTTTGCAATTAAAATCAATGCTATAAATGACAGAATTGAGTAAGGTACCTGCAAAATGAACATTCCTGATGTCGGCATCAACTTGCTCCGTCTGATAATCCATTTGCTGCTGCAGAGGTGTATCATTCATCTGAACTGCATTCACCGTGTTTGTTCCAGTCATGTTGATTCCTTTCTTCTTTTGTAATTCAATGAACCAGTCTGGATATCCATGAATTTTGAAACAGTTATCTATGGTATGGCCATTCATTTTGCATTTGGGGCAATATTTGTCTTTCTTGTCTTCCTTTCTCTTTCTTGTCTTCCTTTCGTTGGTAGTAATGGTTTCCTGTTACCAGTTGCACCTGAATTGTTTGTAATTGCTGTTGTAGATTCCTTCCTAGCTTAACAATAACTGTTGAGTTCAACCTAAGATTCCAGCAGTCAATGTATGTTTTGTATTTACCTCTCTTTGCTTCTCAACACTTAAAATCATGGAATAAGCTTTGTTGATTGAAGGAAATGTATCCATTAAAAGGATCTGATTCTTTACATTGTCGTATTCATCACCTAGTCCCATTAGAAACTGCATTAGCCTTCTACTGTTGTCATATTCTGTAATTGTGTTTGTTTGGCAGCAACATGTAGGCAAAGGTGCCAAACACAGTAATTCATCCCATTTTCTTTTGAGATTTGTATAAAAACTTGTGACAGATTCGTTTCCTTGCTTGTAACTTGCAATTTTTCTCTCAATCTTATATATCATTGGGCCATTACACTCTCCATATCTCTGTTTTAGCTCATCCCAAAGTACTTTTGCAGTTTTGCAAAATACAAAAGCATCTGATATCTCCTAATACCAAACAAGCATCTGTATTCTCCTTGGACACGATTAATGCATCCACGAAGCTAACCATGCTTATCTGCTTGTAACCACCTCTCATATTCCTGCCTGACTGGCTGTGATTCAGGTTGAGCTATGGTTCCATTGATAAACCCTAACTTGTTCTTCGCCCTGAGAGCTACCATTACAGATCTGCTCCATGAGAGATAATTCTCTGGTCCTCTTAATGAAGAATTTACCAACCGAAATCCAGGAGATTCTGAGTTATTAACATGTGAAGGATCATTATCGTGATTTTTGCTAGTAACTGCGGCAATAAGCCTTGCCACATCTTCTGGAGTCATCATCTTGATGTTTAACCAGATCTAAAACAAATTTAACTCTTGAATTGCAGAAATCCAAGAAACAGATTAGTTAACCTGCTCTGATACCATGAACAGGAATGAACAGGATTGAGCAAGCTTGAGAGAAACAAATGAACAAATCGAATGAATAATAAGAAAGAATGAATAGAAAAGTCGCAAGAGAAGATCAATCATTCTCTGCTGCATTCAAAATCGTAAATACTCTGTTATGTCTTTCAAAATCGTAATACTCTGTTATGTCTTATGTCTGCTGTACAAGAGAATATTTAAGATCTATTGGACAAATAACTAACTATGGGTTTAGCTAAGAATACTGGGCTGTGATGATTATTGGGCAATGGTGCTGTGATATTTAATATGGACAGACTGTAACTGAAATATCTGCTATAATATATAGAGCAGAGCGAAGAGAATTAAAGCAAGAAATGGAAGTAATTGACTCACCCGCTTAGGGAAGATTCTTCGGATATGCTGTGTGCACTTTTTATCTATATTTTTACGCTCCTCTAATGGTAATATATAAATCTCTGAGTCAAAGAAGAAACAAGCAATACACAGAAACAAAGAGTCTTCTCTTTTCTCCTTATGCTATAGCTCTTGTTTCTTGCAGCTGCCGCTCTTTTTATAATGATCGCGTGGGTGAAGATTCTTCTCCTACAGTGTCAATAATTACTTAATTAGGTTTAAGCAGTTCGCAATTCTCCAGTGATTAATTGTGTGTTATAAACTTATAATGGAGGAGATGCCAAAATTTAAATCCTAACTATCATTTTTGTTAAAATTAACTGTTAATAGGCACTTGGACGCATGGAAATGAATTTTATTAAGAGAATTTTACTTAAATATTACCCAAAACCCATAACTTAAATGTGAAAAGATATGTGAAAAAAAAAAAAAATTCCACATTCATGGATTGAAGTTGGAATAATGATTTCTCTTGCCAAAACTATTTATTTTTTTACTAGTTTGGTTTTAATTGAGACTCAAATGCGAGATTTTTTTGTGATTATGAAAGTGATTTTTAGGGACGGTATAATTTTTTTTATTACTATTTATTGTTGTAAAATAAATTTGAATTGTATTTAGGACTATAAATTTGCGAATCAAGCATGACTTAGGGTCTGTTCTGTAAAATTAGGTGTTTTGGTAGCTATTAGTTGTTTTAATAACTAATATGCTAGACATCACAGGATTAACTTTTCGTAAAATGCTATCTTAATCTCTAAAACATAATTCAAATGTTATATTATCAAACACCATAAAAAATAACGTTTAGGTCAAAACGCTAAAATCTACTTAAAAAGCTGTTGGTGAACACAACTTTGTTGAGGCTTAGAGAATTAAAATGTGCAGGGTATAATTAAGTTTCAGTATCAAATTAGTTAGGGCAGGTTATATGAATTTCAATATCCACTTTGATAACATTATATCAATGCAAAGAAAAGTAAAAGTTGAAAAAAAATTTTGAAATACTTGTTAAAAAAAATATTTTCGAAGGGAAATTTGAAAACTACAGTATCTCTTTAAAAGGATTTTTTTTTTTTAATTTGATTATAGATTGATAAGTTGCTAACTACTTTTTTTTTTAATTCTTTAAAACGAAAATACTTTTTGTAAAAAAAATATATATTTATATTTTAATTTTATCTACCAACTGCTTTTAAACAATGAGTTGCTATCCTTGGTTACATACTTGGTTACATACTTGAGTTGCTATCCTTAATATATAGTTAATATTTGCTTAATAACCTGTGATTATCTTATTTAATTTGTTTAAATCATCTTTTGGGTTCTCAGGCAAGATGCAGGGAATCTGAAATATAGTGTTTATGTTAATGGTCCCTCCCTTGCTCGATCGAGTCTCCACGTGTATATATCTAACTAACCAGTAAGTTAAATATTCAACCATGTTATATTTTGTTAGTGGTTCCAATCAATCTTAAGCACTGAAACTTGTCGTTTCCTATTTTAACGTAGCCCTGCATCTCTCTACTAAGTTTTTCAGTCTCAACACACGATCCCAATCAATCTAAAGAGCATAAACAATGCCTATGATTCAGCCTATAGGGCATTACAAGAACCCAATCCAGCTTGAAAACCAAACAATGCCATCACAGCAACTCGGTACAATTGAACTCTAACTCTAAAGATTCTTGCTCGGCATTTATGATCGAAATTTTTGCTCGACATTTATCCCTTTAGTTAAAATATGAAACGTACTATAAATATTTGTATTACATCTCATTAAAGGACACATTACATCCAATAATAATATTCTGAATACTCTCTCTTTTACTTCTATCACTAACTGAAATAGAATACCTAATTAGCTCGTAAACAGCTGATAAAGTAACTAAATAACATATGCCTATGATTACACGCCATAATAAAAGGGTGACATTTTACATTCCGGAGATTATCCTTACATGCCACTGAATAAACAACAAAAAGGTAGACATTTTAGAGTCGACACACTTACAATCCAAATTCTAGTATAGACATCAAAACTCGGTACATAAAAAAAAAAAATTTCCCTATTGATAGTCTCTTATAGGAATACTCCTCGGTAGTTTCTCAAACAATTTCCCCTTTCACGAAAGAATATTCTATGCTCTTTGGTTTTTAAACAAGTTATGTGCCAATTAATATTGTATTCGAAATTTCAAGTTTCTTCAGACCATTTTCTTTTGTATTCCACCTTGGATTAAGTTATAAAATATGAAAACATGTGATTCAAAGGCTTATAGAAGTTTATATTTTGTAAATTTACTCTCATTACAAGAGTACAAAATATTAACCATCTCTCATGAACTACCACTTATTTCACGAATTAACTTTCTCTTGAACTTATCTTGAACTTCTATTACTAACTAAGATAATAATCCGACTGACACACCTTATATTTTAATTTATGTTCTCTCTCGTTAAACAGAGGCCTGCATACAAAAAGGTTGTGGTTCCACACAAACAGACTTTAAATATTAAAGAGGTCTTAAGCGAATAAAATTTTTATCCATTATAGGGGGCATTAACCAGTTTAACTCCTAAACGTCATCTCTTTCCTTATTCCCCCCCCGGGTGTCTGTTGCGTAATATGAGGAGCATTGTCGGAGCATTTCTAAGGAGTGAAATTATCAGGGCAGATCATAAAGAAATATAAATGTGGACAGCTTATATTCTCATAAATTATCAGGAAATATAAGATTCTTAAAATTCTTCCTGGTCTATTTGATAGAGTTTCTAAGTCATTATTAGTGAGTTAGGAAACGAAAGCTAATGCAAAGATCTACCTACAACAAAAACCAACCTACCGATTTAAGAGAGATTTTTTTCAAAACAGAACTATAAACCCTTTAGTAGGATTTACATTGAATAATTATGTAACGCTTAATGTGTATTGTACCTGGACGAGTATATATATTAGTTCCCACTAAAATATCAATACCCTAATAAATATTTTTATGATGCTAAAACCACAAGTAAAATTTACAGGGTATATAAAAAAGAAAATATATTCCACCGTTCCCTAAAAAATCACTTCTATCATAATCACACAGTAATAAATAAATGTCTCTTCAGAGCAGTTTGGGAGATCCTCATATTAATACACCCATCTAGTGAACAGAGACACAAATTTAAATAGTATTTTGAGCCAAGAGGGAAAATCATTATTTCCAACTTCAAATTTTTTGCCTCAGATCGAATTTAATTGCGCTCGCCTTTAAAAGTTAAAATTTTTATGAACGTTACTATTTATATTAAGTTTATTTTTTTTGCATACTTATTAATCTATATTCTCACATTCAGTATATAAGATTTGGACACATTTACATCCACAATTGGGTGAGATATTTATTGTGTGGCTGAATACATACTTCATTTCTATTTAACGTTCTAAATCACATACTACCTTTGAAATATAAATGTAAACCATATCCTGTAATTTCCATAGCGTCGCTCGTAAACAAGACTAGATAGATAGGTCATTAATTTAAAAATAATAGACAGGATTCTTAAAAATTTGATTAATAAGTTTTTGTTATTAATTAAATATTACATTACAAAATCCATCACAGACTTTAATTATGTCTTATTGGTTCACCTAATTTCAACATTTAATATTGGGCGAATCTAATTCCTTTCTCAATTTATATGAATCGACTTATTGAATTTAGAAGCACACGCAATATTACTTGACATTATTTAGCGAGCCAATCGGAAGATACTATTAAAAAGCTAAATATTATAAGGTTACATCATTATATTTCTGAGAGAGAGTAGAGTAAAGGAGAAGAAATCTCACCCACAGGCACGAGTAAGTTTATCCAAAGACGCAGGATAAGCTTCAATTGTTTATGATGGCAAGCAAACAATCAAGATCTTAAAAGTTTGGACTAGGTACTTTAATTGCAGTGGTGGCAACAAAGTTGGCTGCCACAAACGACCAACCAGTCCAGGCTAATTTTACATAAAGAATAATTAGCATTTCCATTGAAATATAATTTGGGAAGTTACTAAAAAGTCCAACCTACATTGATACAGAGTTCCAATTCTTCACACAATTTGAGGGTGCTATATTTTGCTTTAATGTGTGATTTATTCTGTCAATTTCTTATTTGTGGTATTGGCCTTTTACAGGTTTAGAATAGCATTGACCATTCAATTCCACTTTTTTTTTTTATATTTATTTATACACACATGGATTAATATAGCAGGGTTTTAGATCGTGTAAGTGATCGACTTCCGGGGTTAGAGAAATATCACTTATAGCATAAATTAATTGTGGTGCATTAACTGCAGTTTAATTTAATTCTGATCAAACTATATAAAAAGTAATTGAGATCCCAATTCTTTTCTTACCGGTTGCACCCTTAGAATGCAACTGCATTTTGTAAGTAAATGTTTTAGGTTTAAATAAAATGTCAGGTTTGAAAACTCGCAACAAGTAAATTTAAGTAATACATTCCATTTTCCAATTT